TTTTTAATCCGATGGACAACGTCCTTACACTGTATCCAGGAAATCTTGGTAACTTTTAGGTACCAGCATACTGCCACATCACGAACACAATATACATTGCATCGAGTATTAAAGTGCTTCAATATGCGTTATTACGAAAGTTATGTCACGGGCTTATATTTGGTTTGTTTTATTTCATGTTAGCTAAAGAAAAAATGACTCCTTCCCTCATCTTACCCAAGTTTTCTGCTTCTTTTTTCTTTTTTTAGCTCTATCATTTCAGTAATAAAGCATTTTCGCTTTTTGCCACAGTTTAGTAGCGTTTATCAGAATATTTTTACTTTCTTATAACTGTATTTTTATTTCAGTTTTGCTACTTTTTGAGTTTCGATTGAATTTCAGGTCATTCTTATTAAACTTATCATTCCTGACACAACTTTTCTCGCCTTTTTTCCCACTCGGATAATTTTTCTGCACAAGCACTGTGACAGCAATAAGGAGGCGTTGACCACTTTCCTTATCTTTTCAAATGCATCACTGAATCGCTTAATTATAATTAGTTAAATCACTGTCTGCCTGACTATGTTGATGTTGCCGACAAAAGAGGGGGAGGAAAAAGGCAGCTGCGGGAATACGAGCAACAATCATCGCCTGACCTAGTAGTTAAAAGTGCGGTACGGTGTGATTTTTGAATTTCGTGCTCTTAATCTACTGACTTTCAGGCCACAAAAGTGATGTATGTAAGCAACATATTAACAAACTTGATATTAGTAAATAAATTCTTGGAGACTGATGAATATTCCATCTATGGCCTTGGAGTGCTGCGCGATCTCCTCTTTGGTCGCTCGTGGATGGAGTCCGGTAATTTTCCACGCGTTACATTAGTAAGTCTTCCTCGTTTGTTTAAATCTTCTTGCAAAAAAATTTTTTTTTAAATAAACGATTAACTTCAATTATCCGGCTCATTTCTGGTAACTACCTATTATCCTCGTATAACATTTGCTTTCCTTGATACTTGTCATTTTTTTATCAACAACATCAGTGCGTTTTGTTCAAATGCTAATCTGGGGCCGAAAGATTTAGTGTTGCTACATTCACTTTGTGGAAACAGGAGTTCGCATCGCTCAACAATAAATTTCTGAGTTCACAAACAAACCGCACAGCATGAATTTCTAATTTGTAGTGGAACCAAGCTTCGATTTACGGCGCGATCTGGAAATTTCAAAGTGGAATCAAGCTTCACATTTATCAGAAATCCTAATAAGCAAATTTTGCATGTATGTAGTCAGTACCTTGTATCGGAACTAGTTAAAAGACTGCATACTTATAGTGATAATAATGAAGAATTAAATTAAATTAATCCAAAGCGATTAGAGTGGAATTCTGTAATTAACTAAGCGGAATTCAAGTAATCTCATTTGCAGTGCGATTTTGAAGTGCGTGTTCTTGGCAATAATCAACGACATTCTGTACAGGTCAGATTTAAAAAAAAAAATTTTCTTGACTTTTTGTGTAAAATAGCTGGTATCCAAGCTTTTTGTTCGAAAAGCACAGTTTTCTGAACGTGTAAAACACAGAATAAGATTTCTTTCAGCTAGTAATTCAAATGGTAGAGAGGGAGAAAACTCTAAATTGCAAATTTAGGGCCTAACGCAGCGCACGGGTTTAGCTAATGAGGTAAAATCAGCTTTCTGGGCATACTTAGCTCTAGTTTCAGAAGTAAGCCGCAGAATTGAAATTTTGTTAAATGTACAAGTACAGGCTGAGTCAAAAGATCAATGT